TTTCTCAACCCCTCGGTGGGGCCCATGGACGTTTGTGGTTCAGCCTAGACTTTCCGTGTTCCCGCCACGCCGCGGTTGCAACCTTGGTTTCAGTACCGGGTTCCTCCCGTGGTGTCGGTGTTCGCCTGTCGCCATTTCCGGTGTGCTGGTTGCGGGCACGTGATCCGTCCTTTTCAGGGCTTTTGGTGCGCGACTTTGCTGGCGCCACCCCATGCACCCATCTGGCCCTGGGTCACAGCTCGGTTCCCCGTGCTGGTTCCACGGTTCCGCGGTGCCCTTGCGCCATTTTGGCCGCGCCGCAGCTCGACTGCTCTTTGCACCTTTGCGTGCTCCTGCTGTTGGACCTCCCGGCCTCGGCCACCCTGGTACCTCGCAGCTTGCCGATGTACATGCCCTGTCTGGGCACCCAATTCGACTTCCAGCCGTCGGTTCACTTGCCTGCGGCCACCCTGGTACTTTTGCAGTAGTCCGGGGGCTTGCGCCCTTGCACCTAATTCCCGTCTGCAGCTTTCTCTGGTTGCCGGTTCCCCTGGCCGCCCGCCGCTTCCGACTCGTCGCACGTGACTTTGGCAGTACTGGTGACCCGCCTACCGCCTGCCCTCTCCCACTCGACGGCCAGCCGCTGAGGTGCTGCGCGAGGCTCCGCCCCACCGCTTTAGGTTAATTCGTCTGTGCGCGCCCCGCTCTGACTGGACTCGCCGCTGGCGCGCTCGCCTGCGGCCGTTGAACAAAAATAACTCCACCAGCACATCCAGAAACGATGCCCAGAGGAATTGCCTCGATCAGGGAAGTGGGCAGCACACAGAGGAAGGGTCCCCCAGTGGAGGCCTCTTGGAGCGCCTTGGGGGCCTCTTGGCGGTCCCGGACGCCTTTTAGAGCGTCTCGGGTGCCTCGGAGAGCTTGTTGGGGCCTCTTGGGGGTCTCTTGGGAGCCTCGTGGAGGCCTCTTGGGCGCCTGTTGGGGCCTCCTGGGGCCTCCTGGGCGCCTCTTGGGGCCCTCTTGGAGCGCTCTTGGGAGCCTTGAGAGCGCTCTTGGAGCCCTCTTGGGCCATCTTGGAGTCATCTTGAGGCCTCGGCGAGAAAGTCAAATACATGTATGTTTCTACGGTTTTGGAATGATTTTGGCCTCTTCGGGGCCTCCTGGGGGAGCTCCTCGGCCACTTGGAGCCGTCTTGGGGCGGTCTTGGGGAGCATAGTGGGAGCCATCTTGAGGCATCTTGGGGTATCTTGAGCCATCTTGGAGGTCATCTTGGACTCTCCCAGGCGCTCTTGGAGTCATCTGAAGCAGTGCCCCCCCCCCCAGGAGGCGAAAATATAGCCAAAACCTAGGTAACGTCAATGATTTTGGCATTGTCGCCGAGGCCTCTTGGAGCGTCTTGGGCGCCTCTGGGGGGCCTCTTGGGGCCTCTTGGGGGTCTTTTGGGGGCCTCTTGGGGGCCTCCTGGCCACCTTGGGGCCCGCTTTGGGCACCCTTGGGAGCCTTGGGAGCGCTCGTGGGGCCATCTCGGAGGAGATCGGTCAAAGAAGGGGGTCCCTTGATTAGCCTCGCCCCTCCAACAGGCCAAAATGGGGCCAAAACCCTAGTACAACCAATGATTTTGGCTTCCTCGCCGAGGTCGTTTTGGACGCTCCAACACCTCGCGGCCCCCCCCTTCCAAGTCCAGGGGGGGAGGGGGTAGGGGGATTGGTAAATTCCTCCCCGAAGGAGAAGAACGGGGGTTGGAAGAGGAGGCGGCCTAAACCACCTACGCCCAGAGGGCTGGTGGGATTATCGGCTTGACCTTCCTGCCACTCCGCCTGCGTACCAAACTTCAAGGACCAAGGTGCATGGCGCGAAGCGCCATTGCAGTCTTGTGTATGTGCATTTTCCTTAATAAATAAGTGTGTGTATATATGTATCTGTATATATATATATATATATATATATATATATATATATATATGGCCGGGGAGCTCCCCCCCAGCGCCTCCCCCAAACGAATTTCGCCTCCTGGGGCCTATCTTGCGCCTTGCTGTGGCCATCCTGGTGTCGTCTTGACGCCCCTCGAGTCAAGCGATAGTGTACAAGCGAGAAGGCCGAAAACATTGCTTTTTTACTGCGTTGTCTGTGCTTTTCCTACTCTCCGGGCCCTGTTGCGCCAGCCTCGGGCCTCTTGGGGCTCGTCTGGGGCCTCATCTGGAGCCGTCTTGGGAGGCATCTGGACGTCTCAAGAGCCAATCGGAAGCGACAAGGCGGGAAGACCAAAAACGTTGGTTTTCCTATGATTTTCCTACATTTGTCCATCTCTGGGCCCCCCTCTCCAGGCCCTGTAGGGCTGGGGAGCGCTCCCCGCCCCGCCCTCCCCCAAAGACTTTCGAATCCTCGGGCCTGTCGTGCGCCTCCCTGTGGCCGTCCTGGGGTCGTCTGGACGCCCCCCGAGTCAACCAGAAGTGAAACAGCGAGAAGGCCGAAAGCATTGCTTTTCTATTGCGTTTTCTCTGCTTTTCCCACTCTTGGGGCCCTGTTGCGCCAGCCTCGGGCCTGTTTGGGGCTCGTCAGGGGACTCAGTTGGAGACGTCTTGGAGCTGTCTCGACGCCACAAGAGCTAATCGGAAGCGACAAGGCGAGAAGACCAAAAACCTCGCTTTTCCAATGATTCTCCTACATTTGTTCATTCTTGGGCCCCACTCCGGGCCGAGTTGCGCCATCTCCGGGCCCTGTTGCGCCAGCCTTGACGCCCCCCGAGCCGATCGGAAGCGAAAAGGCGAGAAGACCGAAAACATTGTTTTTGTCCAATGGTTTTTAAATTGATTTTCGAACCTCCGGGCCCTCTAGGGCCAGTCTGTGCCCTCTTTGGGGCTCGTCTGGGGACGCCTTTGGAGCCGTCCTGGACTTATTTTGATGCCTCAAGAGCCAATCGGAAGCGACAAGGCGAGAAGGCTAAATACACTGATTTCCCCATGGATTTTCACAAATTCTTCATTCGTTGGGCCCTCTTCGGCCAGCCTTGGGCCTCTGTGGGCCTCGGCTTGCGCCTCTCTGAGGCCATCCTGGGGCTATCTTGACGCCTCTCGAGCCGACCGGAAGCGAAAAAGCGAGAAGGCCGAGAACATTGCTTTTCCAATGGGTGTTCTCTGATTTCCGACTCTCCAGGCCCTGTTGGGCCAGCTTTGGGCTTCTTTGAGGCTCGTTTGGGGACTCATTTGGAGCCGTCCTGGGGCTATCTTGACGCCTGAAGAGCCGATGGTAAGCGAAATGCGAGAAGGATTTCCCATGATTTTCATTGATGTTCTATTGTGGGGGCCTTCTTGGGCCAGCCCTGAGCCTCTTTGGGGCTCGTCTGGGGACTCATTTGGAGCCATCCTGAAGCTATCTTGACGCCTCCCGAGCCGACCGGAAGTAAAAAGCGTGAAGGCCGAGAAAATTGTTTTTCCATTGATTTTCATTGACTTTCAAATGTTTGGTCCTTCTTCGGCCAGCCTTGGGCCTCTGTGGGCCTCAGCTTGCGCCTCTCTGGAGCCATCCTGGGGCTATCTTGATGCCCCTCGGGCCGATCGGAAGCGCAAATGCGAGAAGGCCGAAAGTATTGCTTTTCCAATGGTTTTTCAAATTGATTTTCGAATATCTGGGCCCCCTAGGGTCAGCCTGTGTAGAGGAGAAGGAGGAGGAGAAGGAGGAGCAGGAGGAGGAGGAGGAGAAGGACGAGGAATTAGAGGACGAGGGGGAGAGAGGAGAAAGAGGATGAGGATGAAGCGAGAGAAAGAGGCGGAGGAAAAGGAGGAGGAGGAGGAGGAGGAGGAGAATGAGAAGGAGGAGGATGCCCTGCTTCATGCTAGCACAACCACTCGCCTGAGACATATTCGCGCCTCTGGGCCCCGAAACGCCGTGAGCTGGCCTCAGCTGGTGTTGTCCGGTCGCTCTCGCTTAGAAACTCGGAACCCATTCCGACTTGGCGGTGGCCCGCCCCATGCCCACGCGCACGCACGCCGCCTGCACTGGAAACCACAAGGAACAAGGTGCATGGCGCGAAGCGCTAATGCAGTCTTGTGTGTATATATGTATATGCATATATATATATATATATATATGGCATTCCACGTTCAATAATTTCACGTGCAACGAGGATGTGCGCAACATGTCGCGCTACCACAATGTCATGATGTGCATGGGTCCTGACAGTGTATGTGAGTTCGTCTTTGTTTTGCAATGGATTTCTAGGGTTTGACAGGCTCGGGGGAGTTCTGACGCGAAGATACTGTGCTCGCATGTCTTCCGAACAGGAAGGTTGACCTGCCATGGTTGGCGAGGACGAGACCGCCCGAGAATACGGTCGGCTGCTGTCATGCATGCACATTCGCGGCGATTATCCGCAAGTAGCTCTTCATGACGACGCATGGCAACAGGCTGCATGCAAGTATGTGTATTCCTGTTTCTGGGGCCGGTGCGGCATCGATTGCCTTGCATGCCAGGGCGGCCCCACAAGGGCTACGCAGGCTGACCTCGCTGTCGCTCAAGCCCATGTGGGAACAAGTAGGCCCGTCCCAATCCGCTTCCATTCGGGGGGGTATCCCTGGCGACCAGGCTCCTTGGGAATCCTGCTCCCGTTCAGGTCGCCAAGAGACATGGCTTGCAGGTACCCCCTGCCCACCTGTAGAGGCACGGCATGTCTCAAGGATTGGAAATCCTCCAGTAGTTGAGCGCACGGATAAACATCCGCTGTAGCTCTTGTCACTTTTGCTCCGACTGGCTCAGTGAACCCCTGCAGCGCTCCACCCTTTCTTTTACTGCCCAGGGGCCATCCGGCCGGCGTGTCCCGACCAAGCCCGCCGTCGTCGTCGGCGGTGTCGTGGCAGCCGTCGCCGTCGTCGCCGTCGTCGCCGTGGTCGTCGTCACCGCCGGCGTCGTGGTAGCCGCCGCCGCCGACGCCGTCGTCGTTGCCGCCGTCGTCGCCGCCGGCGCCGTCGCCGTGGCCAGCGCACCGTCGGCAGCGTCCTGCGTCCGTCCGTACTGTCCCGGCCTAGGACCGCCGCCAGCCTGCGCGGGGCCGCCCCCTCTGCAGGGGCCGCGTCCCCAGCCGCCGCCGCGGCTGGGGCGGCTCGAGCCGCCGAGTGCGCAGGCCAGGGCGCCAACGACAACGACGGCGCCACGGGCGCCGACGGCGATGCGGCGCCGGCGGCGGCGCCGACGGCGGCCACGAAGATGTCGGCGACGAGGGCGGCGACGTCGAAACGTCGTCGTCGTCGTCGTCGCCGTCGTCGCAGTCGTCGCCGTCGCCGTCGTCCTCGTCCTCGTCCTCGTCCTCGTCGTCGTCGTCGTCGTCGTCGTCGTCGGTCGGCACCGTTATCTTTGCGTTGCTGTCATCGTCGTCGTCGTTGTGGAGGTTTTTCGTTGCCGTGGATGCCGTCGTCGTCGTCGTCGTCGTCGTCGTCGTCGTTCTTCGTCGGCGCCGTTTCGGAGGTTCTGCGCATCTCTGATAGTTCTTGTCACCGCGGCTGTACGCGGTCCGGACTTTTTGCCAAAGTAGACTCAATTATGGCCGCACGGCGACAACGGCGGCGACGACGTCGTCGTCGGTCTGGAGGTTTTCGGACAGATCTTCGGGTTCTCGTCGCCACGGCTGCGCTCGGCTCGAGACATTGGTCACGAAGGACCCCATGAGGGATCGGTGAGCTGATTTTTGAGTGGATGATGGCCGCACGGCGGCGACGGCGACGGCGACGGCGACGACGACGACGACGACCGCCACGCTGACGACGACGACGACGATCAGCCCGCCGACGACGACGCCAATGAAGACGGCATCCTTTACGAGGACGAGGTCGACGACGACGTGGGCGACGACGACTAAGATGATGACAACGACGAGGGGGGCGACGACGACGGCTTTCCACCGGTCTCAGCCTCGCCACTGGAGTCGAGGCTCGCTCCTCCGCGGCCGAGCAACGCGCGTGACCGCTCCGCACGCGCCGCTCGGAGTTCAACCAGCCCGCGCTGGTGTCTGACCCCATCCGTGCGCCGAGAGTGAGCTCGGGGCGGAGGCACCGCACGACGCGCGGGGGGGTTCGAATGTCAACCCCGAACCTCCCGCCTTCGGGCCTCCTCGGGAGCCTCCTGGCCCTCCGTGGCCAGCTCGCCGAAGCCGTCGTTTTTTTTCTGCTTCCCCATAAGGAGCTCCGCCCTCCGTGGTCTGCTCCTTGAGGCCGTCCTCCTTGCGCTCCACGCCCTCCTGCCCGAAGGAGGCCAGCAGGTCGTCCGGGTCATCGCCCAGCTCGACGCCCTGCCTCCATGCCAGCTCCACCTTGGCGCGGGCCGCCTCACGCAGGGAGTCGTCGGCAGCGTCGACGAAGTCCTCCGCATCGATGTCCAGGATCTGCGCCCAGCCGTTGCACAGGTCCCAGAGCACCTCGTCCTCGGCCCGGGACTCCTCGTCCGAGCCGTCGCCACCCTCCACGCTCTCCAGGGCGCTGTCCTCTCCCTCGAAGCCGGAGCTGCTGTCGCCGCTCCCCTCCGCCTCATCGTTCCTGGCTTCGGCCTCAGCCGCCGCCAGCGCCGTGGCCTCCGCCAGGAGCGCGTGCTCGCTGCCCGAGGCCTTCTCGGCGAGCTTCTTCTTGGCTGCGTTCTTCTCTGCCTGCGCCCGCGGCCAGCGGCCCGCGGCCAGCGGCCGCCTCAGCAATGGTCTCCTCCTGGTGATCGTTCTCCTCCCGCCCGCCCTCCAGCGCGTCCAACGAGTTGCCGCCCTCCAAGCTGGGTCCGTTCTGCTTGACGTCTGCGCCTGCACGTGCCACTCCGCGGCCCTTCGTCACCTGGACCCAGGTGCCGTCCTCGTCTGCGTGCAGGCCCCCGCCGTCCGCCGCGAGCGCCCAGACTGCGCTTCCGCAGCTATGGCACCAGGTGCCCCCAGCTGGCAGCGCCATCGCGGCCGCGGGCATCACCTCCGGCGCTAGTCCCAGCCCGAGGCTGGCTTGCCAGGCCTTCGAGCCGGAACTAGGGACGACGACGACGACGACGACGACGACGACGACGACGACGACGACGACGGCGGCGGCAACGGGGTGCCAGAGGGGGGGGGGAAGGGGGCCTTCAGATCCAGTGTCACGAAGAGCTCGTGACGGCCAGGTCTTTCCTCAATTTGTGCATCGACGGGGCCCGTTCAGCGACCTGGGATGAGAAACTGGCCCAGGGGAAGGGGTCGAGAGCCCGAGGGGCCCACGTCACAAAGCTACCCACGTCGGAAGAGGGGAGGAGTGGCGACGGGGGACCCAGATTGCCCATATCGCTATTTGTTCAATGCGTGGTCCTCGACATCTCGACACCTTCCAGGGGACCGGTTCTTCGTACCAGATCGTTTTGAGATGCCCCCCGGGGCCCGACAGCGGTTCCTGGAAGCAGTAAGGGGTGCAGCATCTCCGGCCTGATTTTCTGAGGACGCTCGAGGCTTGGAGAGGCGATCCGCGGCCGGGCTGGAGGAGCGGCGGGGTGTAAGGAGGAGGAGGAGGAGGAGGAGGAGGAGGAGGAGGAGGAGGAGGAGGACCTTCTTGGGGCAACCGCTGGAGAGTCTTGGGTTTACACTGGTCCTCATCTTTCCTCCTCCTCTTCCTCTTCTCCCCCTCCTCTTCCTCCTCCTGGAGGAGGAGGAGGAGGAGAAGGAGGAGGAGGAGGAGGAGGAGGACCTTCTTGGGGCAACCCTGAAAATGTCTGGCCCCCCCCCACTCGTAGGCACGGCGGCGGCCGCGGGGCTGCTGCTGGCTGGTGCCGCCCGGAGCCGTCGCCGGCCGAAGCGCGGCAACGAGGGCGCGCACGTCGCGCTCCAGGCGGCGCCGCGGCGCTCGGTCCTTCCCCGGCTGCGCGAGGGCACGTCCAGACACTTCGTCGCTCCTGCGTGTCCTCCTCCTCCTCCTCCTCCTCCTCCTCCTCCTCCTCATCCTGGCCCTCCTCTTCCTCTGCGGCTGTCAGTCTAGAGTCCAGGTGGGATGACTCGGGGACGCAGAGCGGGGGACCGGCCAGTTCTTTCTGCCGATGGCGGCCGTGTACGTATTGGTATTGCGCGATCGTCCCCTCTCTCATGGCCCTCCTTCTTCTCCCAAACATGTGCGGTGGACAACATCACCATCACCACCACCACCACCACCACCATCATCATCATCATCATCATCATCATCATCATCATCATCATCATCATCATCATCATCAGTATCATCATCGTCAACAACATCGTCATCATCATGTTTATCATCATCATACTCTTCATGCTCATCAACAACATCATCCTCGCCAGCATCGTCATCATCACCATCATCAGCAGCATCATCATGATGATGACCAGCATCATCATCATCATCATCATCATCATCATCATCACCATCATCATTATCATCACCATCATCGTCATCATCATCATCATCATCAGCACCAGCATCATCATCATCAGCATCAGCATCATCATCATCATCGTCAACAACATCACTACTACTGTTATCATTAGAATATTGTTTTATCATTGCCACCATCAAAAAAGCATCGCCACTGCGTTTCGACTAGGGCGTTCCAGAAACCTTCTGGGGCACTCCTGGTCAATCTCGCGACCTTTCTGGGCTGGCGGCCGCCAGCTCAAGCAAAATGTGGGCGGCTCTGCCGGCGGAACAGATCCCCTGCATGGAAGGATGTGGTGGAGGCGCAAGAAGAGGGGACGGAGGGAGAAGGAGGAGGATCATTGACCAAGCAGGTCTGCGAGTGGGCAAACCATTTCTAGGCAGCCCTGCGGGGTTGAAGGGTCGGTCTGTCACCTCTCGCTTGGGGAGGACCGCAACTCGTAGCATGTGCGGGAGGAGGAGGAGGAGGTGGAGGAGGAAGAGCAAGATGTATCAACGATGCTGCAATACACCCTTCTGTTCCAAATCCCATCTCAATGAGTCCCGAAAAGAACGTTTTCCCACTCCTGGAAACGCCCCCATTGACTGACGAATTGCTCCACCCATGGGGGATCCAAAGGAGTCACGTCATACGCTAGGCATCATCCGCCCTGGGTTCTGCCAGACGTGCAACTGTCGTCATTTTGCTGCGCCCCTCGGCGGATTCAGCGGCCAGGCGCGCAATTGCTCTAATTCTGCTGCGACCCTGAAGTCCAGCCAGATTTTGCCCGCTCCTCCCTGGGAGTGCTTCAAAGTGGCGCCATGTTGCGCGCAACAGTATCGTTTCCCATGCAGGTTCCCTGGGGGATCACGTGCCCTTTCCTTTCATCATGTGTTTCTGCAGGGCCCGTTTCGGCAGGTGGCTGAAGAAGAAAAGCTGCATAAACACTACCATGTTGGAGGGCCGCGCAGATTTCTCGTATCGGCGCTGGAACCCCTTCCTTGGCGCGCGAAGCGCGCTAGGGGCAGCGCCGGGGGCGCCGCCAGGGGGTTCCAGCGCCGAGAACTCCGCGCGGTCCTCCGAAAGTTCATGTGTATGTAGATGCGCCTTCTTCTGCCCACCCCCTTCCTCCCTCGATCCTCGATTCCACCTCCCGCCGAAATCAAGTGAACACAATCAAGCCAGACCATCATAGCACGCCGATGCAGCTTCGGTCAGCATCGGGCTGACGTTTGGTCCCTGGCGGGACTCCTCCGAGCCATGCTGACGACCGCTGGCACGCGGGTGCAGAGCAACGCCAGCTTTGGAGGGGCACCCTTCTGTTCATCACGTCTGGCCTCTCCACCCTGGAATGCTCTTCGCCCTGGACCTCTCCATGGGGCAGTGAGCCGTGGGCGACCTGGCTCACGCTCCCGGGCCCGCCGACCGCTCTTGCCCGGGGCCCTGGGCCCGCCTTCGCACAGGCTCGGCGGCACGCCGAGGGGGCGGGCCGTTCTCGGAGGGCGGCGGGGCCTCGCGGAGGCCCTCTGGCCTTCTGAGAGGCCCTCCCGTGGCTCGGAGAGTTCAGAGAGCTTCGCAGAAGGCCCGGGGGCTTTCTCGGCTTCCTGAGAAGGCCCGCCCCGCCCCCTCCGCCTTCTCACCCCGCCCACCGCCACCGCCGCCAGCGTCGTGCGTCGCATCGTTCGTCGTCGTCGCTGTCCGTAGGCGTTCGCCGCCGCCTCTGCCAATGCGGACCTCCCTCCATTGGTTGATCCGCATGAGGTCTTACCCAGCGGCTTCACCCCAGAAAGGGTCGGAGAGGAGGGAAAAGGGAGGGGGAGGGAGGAGGAAGTGGACGAGAATCAGCACGAGGAGAAGGGGAGGAGGAGGAGGAGGAGGAGGAGGAGGAGGTGGTGGTGGTGCAAGGCCTTGCAGGAGCGTGGCAGAAACTCCAAGAGCACGGCTCTCCTTGGCAGGCCATTCGGGGCCCCTTTTCAGCCGCCGTCGCCACGGCAATGCGACTCGGTATCAAGATGAACGGGCTCGAGTGGCAGCATCCTAGCGTGGGCGTCTTCTCGGTTGAGGCCTTGTGTCCCCGCACAGTTAAAACTGCCCTTGAGACCGTTGTCGAGAGCTGGCTCTGGAGCAAGGTGGCCGACCACCTCCAGATGCCTGAGTTTGTGCAGGGCCCCTTTCTTGCTCCCATCAAGGCTGGTATGTCCAAGCTAAAGGCGCACGAAAAGGCCTATGTAGTTAGTGTAGTTTCGGGCGGCCAGTGGCCGCAAGATAGGCAGTATCAGCTCTGCTTGTCGTCTCGACAAGAGTGTCAGGTCTGCTCCTCAGGCCCAGGGACCCTCTTGCACAGGCACGTCGGATGCTCTGGTCATCAGGACATGCTCGAGTTAGAGCAGGAGCCGCCTGCGTGTACGCAGGCCATGGTGGTAGCAGCAGGCAACCCTCTCGTTCACCTCCTCCTCGAGAGGTTGCTTGTGCCGCTGCCTGCTCCTCCTCCTCCTCGACCCACTCCTCCTGAGGAACTCTGGCTCTTTGGGACCCCCGACGAGCTCGGAGGAGATTGCTTTCTCGACGGGAGCCTCTTCGATTCCGAGCTCCCGCCCACTGCGCGCTCGATAGGCTGGGCCATCGCCTCGTTGCACGACGATCCGAATCTCCCCATGTCTCGAGCGAAGCGCGCGGTGGCGGCGGGGGGGCTCCCAGCAGGTCATTTCGACATAGACGCGTGTGAGCTTTGGGCGTTTTTTTTCATGGGCCTTAGGCAGGCCCTTCCCGATGCCGTCTTCTGGACCGACTCCAATTTTGTCTTCCAGGGAGTTTGGGAGCGGGGGCGGCAGTTTTGCTGCTCGGCTAAAGCTGCGTGGGCTGACATCTGGAAGCTTTTCTGGCATGCCATCGATGACAGAGGTGGTCTCGATGCACTGCGCCTTAACAAAGTTAAGGCGCACACCACTCGTTCTGATGTCACCTCTGGTCGTCTCTCGGCCAGGGCTCAGACTGGTAACGCGTTGGCTGATAATTATGCCAAGCAAGCTGCGGAATACAGCAGAGTCTCTCAGCATTATCGAGATCTGTTCAAAAGTCAGTTTAAAGTTGTCTGTGCCTTGGCCCGCTGGGTTGGCGTGTGCGGGCCCCCCATGGCCGATCTGGACTGTCAGCACGCTCCTGTGTCCAAGCGTGTCAAGAAGCCCAAGTCTGATGTGTCCAGGTTGCAAGTAATTCCTCCCCCTCCCGTGGTCTCGTCGGTTGAAAGTCGAGCCGATGTTGCGATCGCGGTCTTGAGGAATAGGGTCACGCCACTCACAGAGCCTTTCCCTTTACTCTCGCGGGGGGGAGGCGGGGGGTGGTGTGTGCCCATTGCGGTGCTGGCGGAGTTACAATTTCGAAACAGTTTCGAGATCCGTGTCCGCCAGTGCCCTCTGTCTGGGGCAACCGAGTTTTGCGAGGCCTTGAGCAGGGCAGGTACAAGCAAGGGAAGGAGTGGATCCTTCTCACCGAAGCTTGGAACCCTGCCAGTCTGGAAAGAAGCGGTCAGGGCTTGGACCCAGGCCGCCCTCGGAAAGAGCACTCTGCCGCTGGCCCCTCGACTGGATAGCGCCCCCAGTCGGGGGTGACAAAAAGGTCGTCCTGATGGGTGCTCTCCCGGGGTTTTGTTCTCCTCGTCTGGCCCCCCGATAGGGGGTGCCGGGCTGCCAGAGGCGTTTTGCTCTGTTGGTGCTCGTGGGGATCTCATGAGCGCCTACTGCGTGCGCAGGAGGAGGGAGAGGGAGAGCAGGAGGAGGAGGGAGAGGAGGGGGAGGGAGGAGGAGGAGGAGGAGGAGGAGGAGGAGGAGGAGGAGGAGGAGGAGGAGGAGGAGGAGGAGGAGGAGGAGGAGGAGGAGGAGGAGGAGGAGGAGGAGGAGGAGGAGGAGGAGGAGGAGGAGGAGGAGGAGGAGGAGGAGGAGGAGGAGGAGGAGGAGGAGGAGGAGGAGGGAGGAGGAGGAGGAGGAGGGGGAGGGGAGGGGGAGGGGGAGGGGGGAGGAGGAGGAGGAGGAGGAGGAGGAGGAGGAGGAGGAGGAGGAGGAGGAGGAGGAGGGAGGAGGAGGAGGACGAGGAGGAGGAGGAGGAGGAGGAGGAGGAGGAGGAGGAGGAGGAAGACTTCCCCCCCCGGGGCCAGTCACTCGCAGGCGGCCGCCAGGCCCGCGGGCGGCTCGGGCCTCGAGGAGCTGGCCGGCGAGCTGCTGGCGAGCCCGCAGCGCCCGCGCCTCGGGCCGCCCAGCGCGCTGCAAGGGGGGCCTTCGGGGGGCCTCCGCGGAGGCCCTCCGGAGGCCCTGCGGAGGTCCTCCGGAGGCCATCGGCGGCCCTCGGAGGCCGTCCTCGTCGTCGTCGTCGTCGTCGTCGTCGTCGTCGTCGTCGTCGTCGTCGTCGTCGTCGGTATCTGATGGCCGTCGGCCCATCCCTCCACCGTGCCCAAGCTGCGGGTTTGAAGCCTACTGGATGTTCGTTGGAATCTCGTGAGAGGCCCCTCGGGGGCCTCTTGGAGGCAGTTTGCAAGCATTTTTGGAGCCGTTTTGGGACCTCTTGGGGCCTCTTGTGGGCCTCTTGGGAGTGTCTTGGGGTTTCTTGGGGGCCTCGTGTGGGGGCCTCTTGGGGCCTCCTAGACGCCTCTCTGGGCTTCCTGGGGCTTCTTGGGGCGGAAGGCTCGGATTTTCGGTTGATGTTCCCTCTCTTAGCCCCGTTTTGGGGCCGTCTTAGGGTCATCTTGGGCCGTCGTAGGCGCCTCTTGGGCCGTCTTGGGGCGCTCTTAGGCCGTCTTGGGGGACCCTCTTGGGCCGTCGTGGAGCGTCGGGAAGCCGAAACGACGAGAATGCCAAACATCGCAGCGAAATCAATGATTTGGGCTTCTTGGGGCCTTCTTGGGAGGTCTCTTCGAGGCCTCTTGTTGTGTCTTGGGGGCCTCTTGGGCCGTCTTGGGGCCATCTTGCGCGTCTTGGGCGATCTTTCGGCGACTCGGGGCCCTCTTGGACCGTCTTGAGGGGTTTCTTGAGGCTCTCTTGGTCCGTCTTGGGGCCCCCTTGGACCCGAAAAAGTCACGCGAAAAGATGCGGGGGAGCCCAGGGGGCACGCAGGAAGCCCCAAGAGATTTCGGAAATTTGGGTCCGGGCCCCCGACTGACTCCTCAGAACTGAGGACTGAGGCCCAGGGAATTGGGCGAAGGACCTGTGAGAACACGCCTACTCCGTGCCCAGCGGCACGGTTGCGTATTCTGAGGTTATCGGCTGTTTTCGTTGACGTTCCGATTTTTTCGGTGGTCCTCGTGGCCACGGCTGGATCGGCAGGACTCACTCCAGGGCAGGTCGGACGACGACTCGATCGACATGGTTTTGCCCTTCTCGGCTACCGCTGTGATTGAACGACACGAGCTATCCCGCGATCATAGAGCACTAACCAGGCAAGTGATTGGATTGCGCTCATTAGCATGGAAGTGCCACCATCCCCTCGGAAAGGGATCGAGCGTTGTTTGCATTCTGGGTTGGATTGAAAACGCGGTACACAGGTAGTAGCAGGGGTCCGAACGCCCAACGCGTGCTTCTGCCAGCCGTCGGGCTTCACGGAGCCACTGCTGCCTGATTTCCATCAATTGCCCCCCGTTGTCCCCCAGCCAAGGCCCGGTGCTGCCCCCCAGCCCAGGCCCAGTGTTGCCACACTGCACAGGCCCAGTGCTGCCCCCCGTTCACCCCACAAGCTGTCCACGTCGATTCGATTACGCGCGCCTCTGTCTGCGCACTGCATCGATCGACTTGACTGCGCGGCCCCCAAGTGCGATTCTGCTCTCTCGGTTGGGCTTCGACTCGGCCGGACTGATTGCACAACCGATTCGTGTCGCAGAGGGCAGCTATACACTTTCACCACCCCTGGCCAGGAATTGTGGTGGTGTGTAGCCGCCTTCTCGACTGCGCCACCGACTTGGCGGATCTGGATTTGAGCGGAACAGGCAGGCAACCCTTCACCCCCACCGCTCGGGCAGGCTTGTTGATGGGTGGGCCTCATCGCGAAAGTCAAACTTGGCCCTAAGGATGAACCTTTGAAGCAATGTACCCCTGCACCTGTCGATTCTGGGCATCATCTGCATGTTCTCTGCCTCTTCGATTCAAGGACACCCTGGCATCTTGGCGCGTTCTAGGTGCCTTGCATCCTCAATTACACAGCTGACACGGAGTTAAAGAATAACTCTATCATTCTAGCGTTGGCGGTGTGCTTTTGTGTTTTTCTTGCTCTGGCTTCCGACCTTGTAGTGCTCTTCGTGCTAGGCATCTCCACGGGGCCTTGGACATCTGGCGCAGGGGCCCATACTCTTGACCCACGTTCTCGTGGCCATGTGGGGCGCTCCAGAAAGCGCCTCTTCGCGGATCGAATGAGTTGACATCTCGATCCTCGGCGAAAGGCTGGCGGAAGGCCAGCGGAAGCAAAACGAGGGTGTCTCCGCTGGTGGAAGGCCAGCGGAGGCAAGATGTTCTCCCCCGAGAGACGTCAATCTTTTGGCATCCTCCAGGGCTTCCGGAGCGGGCCATGTCTCCATGAATTCCCAGAGGATCGAAAACCATAATGCTGGAGGTCGACTTCCAGAATGGGTGAAACCATGCCTCGAGAATGGAGGTCGGACCTCCATTTTGTTCATCTTGATCCTCTTGGTGTTATCAACTTCGAGCCCGGTCTCCCACGCGTCTTGTAGCGACCAGTTGTCATCGCTCCCAGTTTCTGTCCTGCCTTCAGCTCTCGTCGTGATGCTGCGACGTGGCTTCAATTCCTCCATGGCCGAGTCCGCCAGCGCCCGGGTCCCCGCCGAGGTGCGGATGCCGAGTTCGCCCGCCGCGTGCGGCTCGCGGCGGCGGAGGAGCTCCGCTCCGGCCGGCAGCGCGGCCGCTCCGCGCAGCAGGCGCCAGCGCTCGGCGAAGAAGAGACCTGTGCACGGCTCGCCGCGGGACCCCCCTGGCGCCGCCTCCGGCGCCGCCCCTGGCGCGCCCCGCGCACCAGGAAGGAAGGGGGTCCAGCGCCGATCCAAGAATTCCGTGCACCTCCGAAGGTTTATGTTTATGGCGACGTTTCTCATCTTGTAGCTCGGCGAAGAATTGAAGCTCGCCTTGTCCTCGAGGGCCTCGGGCACATAGTTTCTGGGCCTTCGGCGGAGCTCCTCGTTGCCGCGGCCAGGCGCGGCTCGAATAGCTGGCCAGGATGCGACCCCGAGATGACGCGCAGCCGCTCCGCGCAGCGTGCGCCAGCGCTGTCCAGCGCCTAGCGAAGGCCCAGTGGCGTCCGAGGATCGGGGTTCCAGGATCGTAGGTTTAGGTCGGGCCTGTCCCATTACAGGAGGAATATTCCAAAATAGTCCAAAAATAGTATGGGCGATGTGTTGAGTGTTTTTAAACAACTTTTGATTAATTTTGGGGTATTTTTATTTCTTGCCCAAAATTGCCTGTAGGGGGACACGCCCGACCTAATCGTGGGTCGGGGGTCTCTTGGCATTTCTAGGCCTCCTGGGCCGCCCTGCGTGGCCACGGTCGCATCCGCCCCGAAGTTCTGGCCGGAGCGCACCGCTGGAGAGGTCTGCGCTCGTGGTGCCCGGGGAGCCCGTCGTTTTGAAGAGTCGGCACGGAGGTTTCTCTCTTCGTTTTCGTAGTCGGGGGCCGACGGTAACGGGACGAGACATGCCCCTGGGGAAGGGGTCAAGAGTATGCCAAGAGCTCGAGGAACCGCGAAAGCCTTTGGACGGGAAGGATCTGGAGCTCCGAGCCGCCCCAGGTTGTCTTGCCCTTACAGGGCCGCGGCGCAGTTGGCACGTCAACGGAGAATCGGCCTGCCAGCAGGTGCCCTACGGAAATTCCTTGCCTCCGGTGGCCCCAAGGACCCTCAGGACCCTCAAAGCTCGACGAGCAATATGCCCCAATACTTCTAGTAGCAAGATCTCTTGTCGCATGTGTCTGCCGTAGGTTATTGGGTTCCCAGCCTCTCCCACGAGGATATCTGGGCGATCGCCCGCGTCACTGTCCAGATCTCTTGCGGATTGATTTTTCCAATCCGCCAGCCCCAGAGGTCTCGACCACTTCACTGGGGAGCAGCTTCCCGCCCTGGATGAATTTCTTGGTCGCTCGGGGCCCGAAGACGGCCCCTGGAGCCCCGGGTCGGGGAAGCGCTCCGAGATTGATCAGAACAATCCGCCGAAGGACTCCGTCCCCCTCCAAGATGGACCCCTGGACCTCTTCCTGGCGAGTTCGCACTAGAGTTTCAAGGGAGACCCAACCCAGCCATGGCGACGATGGCTCCGTGGCGAAGAGCTTCCAGCGAGGCCTCGACCCATCGAGCCCGGCGATCGCTTGCGTGATCTGCTGCCGCCCCCAGGCGTTCGCGGCCGCCGCCGAGGGCGCTGGCGCCCAAGGGGGGCCCGAGGTCCAAGGGAGGAAAGACAACCCCGACCCCCCACCACTGGTCGGGCGGGGCCAGGATTGGGATGAATCGTTCCAGAGCGCTCAGGGACGCTCTGAGAAGGCCTCGGAGCCCGACACATCCTCCAGAACTGCGGGATATCAAGGGTCCCCGACCCATCCTGGTCCGGTTTTGTCCTGGTCTTGGCCTCGTCTTGGATGGCGTTAGCCAAACAAAGTCCTGGGCGATCACCTCACAAGCCTGCCCTGTTCGGCTCCTCCCTTCAATCTCCTTCGGCGCGTCTGCCGGCAGGGCTTCTCCTGCAATGGGTGCCTATTTGTGAGGGTCTTCTGCCTCCTACGAGGGGCACCTGCGCTGGTGCGCCAGTGCGCTGGCCTCCATGCTGCTGGCGCTCACAGTCAGCATCGAGCCCGCGAGCGCGCTCGACCAGGCGCGCAGCTGGCGGCCACACTGGTCAAGCCACCGTCCGCCGCTCACAACCCAGAAGCGTAGCCCTGATACGCCCGTTTTGAGATGCAACACGTACCGCGTTAAAAACTTCTGGGCTGAGCACGCTGCGTGTTGGCTCGGCACGTATTGGGCCACTTTTCGGCGTCCGCATCGCGCCAGAGCTATATTTTCAGACTGCGTGTTGAGCTCGGTGTCAACGCGCTACGTGTTGCGCGTTGCGTATCGGGGCAGCTAAGCCCAGAAGTTCGGACACTTCCAACATGGATGCCGGCCCATCCCGCCACCGTGCCTGGGTTTTGGGTCTGAGGCCTCTTGGGTGTTCGTTGGGATCTCGTCGAGTCCTCTCCAGGGCATCCTGGAGCAGTTTTGAGGTTTCTGGGGGGCTGTTTTGGGACCTCTTTTGGACCTCTTGGAGGCCTTTTGGGACCTCTTGAATGCCTCTTAGGGGCCTCTTAGAGCCTCCTGGGTGCCTCTTGGGGCGGAGGCTCGGATTTTCGGCGCGTGCTCCGTCTCTTTGGTCCCTCTTGGGGTCTTCTTGGGGCAATCTTGGGACGTTGGGCGCCTCCTGGGCCGTCTTGGGGCCCTCTTGGGCCGTCTTGGGGCCCTCTTGGGAGCCTCTGAGGCGGTATTGGAGGCCTCTTGGGACGTCTTGGAGCGTAAGGAGCTCGATAGGTCGAGAACCCCCCCAAAATGAAAAACCGAATTAAAGAACATCAGTGATTTTGACCTCCCCGGGCCCTCCTGGGAAGGCTCTTGGAGCTCTCTTGGGGCGTCTCGAAGCCTTCTTGGACCATCTTGGAGCCACCTTGAGCGTTTTGGACCGATCGTTCAGCGATTCGGAGCATCCTTGGGCCGTCTGGGCGGGCTCTTGGAGGTATCTTGGCCTGTCTTGGGCCCCTCTTGCTGGCCCCGAAAAGGTCCTGCGGGAACACTCCGGTGAGCCCAGGGGGCACGCGCCAAGCCTCAGGATCTATGAGAATTCTGGGCCAGGGCCGCGGCGAGACTGCTCGGGACGGAAGACTGAGGCTCAGGGGCTGAGCAAGAGACAGTGGGGACACTCCACACCTCGTGCCACAGGGGCGCGGTGGCGGATCTCCCAAATGGGGGCTGGGATTCCAGAATGGAGGCTTTCGATCCTCTGGGCCGCTTGCCCCTGGCGACTCGCAAAACTCGAGACTCGAGACCATGCTTTTTCACAGCTTTCAAACTCTGGGAACCTGTTTCGGGCGCGAGGGCTGTCAGAAAACAGCTCGGGATGAAAAGCCAGTCTCCCAGAAAGGGGTCGAGAGGTCCAGGGGCACCTCGTCTCGAAGCAGACATCGACTCAAGATGAAAAGCATGTCCCCCAAAAAGGGGTCTAACTTTGAACGGAGGTCAAAGGCGAGTCTTCGAGCGACGCGCCTGCGTCCGCACGCCGCTTGAACTCAAGCGGCGCGCCTCTGTAATACGACTACCCTGGTCTCGGTGTACAGTCGCATCCGAGTAATGGATAAGGAATATTCCAGATCCTTCGACGATGCACTCTCTCATACCATGTCTTGCCCCTCATTTACCTGTTGGTACTTCTGGTATGGGCACGTCCTGGGATGATATAACACTTCTAAGATGTAGTGCACTGTACGGCTTACCATGACACTTGTTATTTGGTAGCGGAGCTGGCCTCATCTTTATGTTGCTGGCTCTGATTCGAATTCCATTATCCCACGGCACAGCATGGTGGACTCCTGTTGCGATGCTACATCCAATTGCGCCGGCCAGATCCAGGAGGCTGGCCTACACGTGGCGTCGCAACGACGGACGGCCACGCTGGCCTACACGTGTATGCCACGACTCTAAGCCACTACGCTCCTATCCACCTTCAACCAATTGGCAATTCACTATCCGACTCCATCCCCTCGGGTGGCAATTTACCACAGCGCGGCCATGCGCAACACGCCAACATGAACGCTACACCCATGCGAAAGCAGACGGCCACGTCAGCCTACAACTACGACGACCACGACACCACATATACCAACATGAGCATGCACTACGTCAAGGTCGCTACGTTCGGCATCACATGGGTGTGTTATGGTCTAGCACTAGGGTACATGCAACGAGGAATGGACGATATGCGCACCAGTGGCCTTCACTGGGACCCTGCTGGCAACGTGCCCTTTCCGCGAAGTCGTTCACGAAGCACACGACAAGTTGTGCTATGATTCTTCCGCAACAAGCCTCCGCCTTGCAGCGCGGCCTAGGAAACCTAGCCAGGACCCTGGCGATGAGAGTGCCGTCCTCGATCGTCAAGTACGGCGTGATTCCACAAGGTGAAGGCACCGACCGTGTTTCATACATTTTCCTCCCCAGTACCAAATTTTAGAATTTCGAGGACGAGCGACAGCATACATGGAGCAGATTTCATCGACTTGATTCGCCCGGTTCGAAATTGCCAGATTGGAAGCGGGTTCGGCTGGATTCAATATTCCGAACTTCCTTTGATTGACGCTCTTGCTGTTTCGAGCCTTGGGAGTAGGCACCTCCCATGTTTCACACCTAGCACAACCCCTCACTTAGCTGAGCGCGCTCCTGGAAACATTGGCGGGGTCTTCAGCGGACGTGAGCAAGACGCCGGCGGCCACGCTGGGCAGAATCTGGGCTGACCAAGAGCCAAAATAATTCACAACGCTTCCAGGCCAGGACACTGGCAACTCACAGGCACCCGGCCCCAACAACAACTACTGGAGCACAGGGCCAGTTGCAGTTGCGGTCAGTAGCTCACCACTAGCTGCAAGTGCACTCTGGGGTTCATCATGCCAATACCCCGACTCACCTTTCGATTCAGAAACCGACGCGGACACCGTCTGATCCACAGGTGTTGCTGAGATTGACTGGTCAAATTACCTGCTGACGGCGATCAAGCAGCACAGTACTTGTACCTAGGCTATCATCACGCCAAATGCTGCTGGATGCGACATGTGAAGAAAACAAGTTTGGAGGTTTAGACGGGCAGTACGACGGGTAGTCAATCGGATGGGTAAGGGTCGTGGCGCGGTGGTAGGCGCATTCGCAGGTTGCACGGACGGGGCATGGCCACACATATTTAGTTAGTCTTGCTGATTAAGGTTTTGAGGAACTGCTTCTCGGTGGGAAAGGCCGAGGTCGTGGACGCACCGCTGGACAAGATAAGGGATGTAAAAAAACGGAAAGGGAATAACTTGCAGCAGTTGCGGTAGCAACAGTCATGTCCAGGCACTGCGCGAAGGGGAAATAATAGGGAGATGGTTCTGTGGTTTTTGGCTCAGAGCATTACAATGATGGTCATCCAGAGTACGTCGACTCTCCAGAGACTCTTCAAACACATATCGTACCACATGCGTCTTGATGGCTAGCTTCACCATTGCTTCGCTGGCTGTCGAGAGGTACACGGACTACTTTGCGAGGGCGTCTTTAGAATAATTTCTAGGAGCCCACGCCGTTTGAGGATCGGTTCGGATTCCCCGTGCACGTCCATGCGCGTGCCGACTCCGACAACGATATTGAGTTCGAGCCTGACCACGTACCCGATGCGGGCACGAACCTTGCTATTGAAGTAGAGCTGACGCATTTTCAGCTCGGGCACGAGCGGGGTGGACGCGCTCCTCTGCCGCCGCCTACTGCCATCGGTGTTGCTGCTGACGATTGGCCTGCGGCTGGGTGGGGTCCGACTTCCACTGCCGTCTTCGCGGCGCAGAACCGACGGGCCCCCAGCGGGCCGGCCCTGTCACGGACAAGAGCTCCAGTCAAGACGAGGAACACGCCACCGACAAATGAATGCTGCGCGCGCGGGCGAGGGCCCCTCTTTCCCCCGAGACGGTCGCCGTCGCCGCCTGGAGGTGTCCAAGGAAGGTATTCGATGGTTCTTCGACCAGGGCTGGTCTGAGGCGTCGGCTCGACATTGTTTTCTATTTTAAAGGTGTCCTCGGGGGCCCCGTCGCTGTCAAGATCCAGAAGACTCCCGACTTCCGACCGCCGACCCGACCGGGAGACAGGCGCGCGCGCCAGGAAGCGGGATATCATTGCCGATCGAGCAAAATGGCCCAAGCATGGCTGCCCGAAGTACCAGGGCCACCGCCCTCGTTGATCCCTCGATCGCCCATCGCGGAGCCCGGGCCACCTTGCCGCGCCATGGTGCCCTGAGCACGGGGGCGGCTTCATCGGCGAGGCGGGCGGCCGGGGCCAATGCGCGCCCCTCACCAACAGGCAGACCTTAGTGATCCAGTTCGATTGGGACGAACTCCGCGAGGACCATCACCTGAAGAAGTACCAACGTGATTTCCATGCTGCACGACGGCGACGATGCTGGACGAGCTGGGCCTCCGGCTTCGACCAGGGGGCGACCAGGAAGCACCGCTGGGGAGCGGCGGCTCAACGCGACAGGCCAGATTGGGGGCAGCCTTAACCCCCGCCGGCGGCCAGCATGCCAGCGAGGCAGAAAGCCAGGGCGCCGGGCAGCAGGGCGACCCGCCCAAGACAGCGCTGAACCTAGATCCGCAAGTGGACCTGGTGGCGCCATTCCCACCATCTTCGCCACCGCGCAAGGGCGCTGAGAAGAAGCCTGGCGCGATGCGGGTCGCACGCGCCGAAGCGCCTGACCAGTCTCGGCCGCGCGCGAAGAGCACTCGCTTTGAGGAGCTGCTCTCCTAGCGGGCAAGCCGATCGTGGAAAGACCCCCCCCGCGCGCGAGATCCACCGGGCCTGGCGTTGCGGACAAGGCTGCCGCATCCCTGGGCAGTTCGCGCGGGCCCGCTGTCCGCGCGCCCGCAATCCCTTTGTGGCCGCTTTTTGTTTTCCTCCAAACCATGCGCGGGAAATTTGCACCGCGTCGGCACCGCGACCGCGCGCCTGTAGTAACGACATTCGCATCCACATTCCCTGCGTCAGGTTTGTTTCGGCGGCAGCATCGCGGACTGGCCGCGTCGGCTGGCGTCTTCCCTGGGAGTGGCACGCAGACGCCAGCCCGTCTGCCGGTGACATGTGCCGCATGCCGTTGGTGCCTGACGCGCGGCCCACCGCATCGCTTCTTGATGGAGGCGAGGGCAGCTGCGCCCATGGACTTACTCTGTCCTCCCCGAGCACTACAGTGAGATGACGGGCACACCAATGGCGGGACGGCCGACTCACAACCGTGTCATTCGGGACACCACGGACGAGTTCTATCGACTCCAGTCGGCGCGCGTGGCGGACCAGGGTTCGTTCCCACATGTGGGGCACCGGCCCCGCTGACTGACTCGGGCGCGACGGTGCAGCCGACCGTCGCGGCGGTGCCAGATTCATTGGGGCCATTACCACCGCGCCTCCAGGACATTTCCCGCACGGCGCAGGCAAACGCGCAGACCGCCGAGGACGTTCGGCGGGCACGGCGCCAACGCACTACGATGCGCACGCAGCACCATGTAACTGACGCCCAGCGCGGAAGCGCGCCAACGACGAGGTCCGACCGCGGGCCGCCGCCCCCGGCCTTCGAGGCCATCGCCAGGGGCAGACGCGTCCAACGGCAGAGGCACCGCCCATTCCAGATGTTGCCTTTTGCGCAATGCGCGGCGCGCCTGGAATCATTCGCCGTGCGCGGTACTCTATGGCGATTGCAGGGTGGACACAACTTTTCTGTTTAATGCTGGGGCCGAGCCGCTCGCGCACGCGTCAACAACGGCGCGAACGGCGCAACAAATGTCGCCTAATATCCCTGCGCTGGCCATCGCGATCAGGACGACTCCTCGGGCAATGCGTTGCGCCGCGCCCAGGAGATCAGGGGGCCGTACCGAGCCGCGCCAGGACGCTCAGCGCGAAAGCGGCCAGCGCGCATCCAGGCAAGACCCCAATCGTCGGCACCCACGTGCTGCCGAGGGCCCCATCCACCCGCAGTCAGCGAGGCGCCGTGCACGCAGGGACGCTGGCACGCGTCAACACCCGCTCCAGGAGCTGCAGGCTGACGTTGCCGACGGTTTTTTGCCAGTCGTAGGCGCTGCCGCAGATAGCATATCTGGCGGCCTTCGCGGCTTCGAGATCCCGCGCGAGATACCACGCAAACTCCTCGGACGCGATGGTGCCATTGCAATCGCTGCAGGACGCGTGCCGTCGCGCTATCAGCTGCGCCCCCACCGCTTGCCAGACGCGGTAGAGCATTGGGAGTAACCTTCAATCATCGGCTTCTGGTCCATGGGCCCACTCTCGCCAGGCTTAGGAAGCAGCAGCCCTTCAGGACGGCGCAGCTTCTCTGGCCAACGGCATGCTCGGCAGCTTGGAAGAGCTCCGCGACCCATCCGATCAGCGGGATAGGCAGCAGGCGCAGCTCCGCGCAGCTCCGACCCGCAGTTCCAGACGCGAACCTCGCGAAGCGAGACCAATCCCGAAGACTTTCCTTGGAGAGCACGCGAGCTTCCACGAGGCACACAGAGATACCCAGTGCAGACCCAACACGGTCAACGAGGCGCTCCTCCTCGTTTCCTCCCACCCTCTTCTGTCATTTTCTTCCTTAGTTTTGCATCTCCTTTCGTACCTACTCTCGCCAATGGGTTCTCTAGTTCCTCCTCCTTTTCTCTCCCTTTCTTCAGAGGGCCCCGGCAAGACCTCCAGTGGATACCACGTGAACCAATTATGGGCGCCTTGCTTGCATCTCCCGTTTTTTTTGTCCTCGGAAGGCATGCTCACCTGCGCTCCATGGTCGAGGTTCCAGGCTCAATCGGGTTCCTTTCCTTGCGAGGGATGTTGGATTCGGTAGCACGGATCCACTGTTTGGTGCAAAGGATCGTGGCTCTTGGAGCGCGGACCCATCGTTTTTGTGCGGCGGATTGTGACTTCGGGAGCGCGGAGCCATAGTTATTCTTCAGGAGATAGCGGCCTCGGAAGCGCAGATCCACTGCCTTCCTACATCCTGAATGTGACGATTGTCTTTTTTAGCCCCCCCCCATGCAGGAACCAAGCAACCAACCCACACCCACGTTCACATTCACCCTCAGACAGACAGAAGCCATGCGCCTAGAGACGGCGCGTCAGCATCACATTCAGAAACTTCTTTTGGGCTAGGTAACCTACTCCGACTTCCTCGAGGAGGTGAACAAAGGGAACGTGGAGATGGTCCGCGTCCAGAACGATATGATGAGCGCGCAGTATACCTCCAAGGACGGATCCCGCCACGAGCTGGCTTTGGTGCCCAACATGCAGGTGCAGGATCAGCTCTTCAGCCAGCTCGCGGACAAGAAGGTTGACGTCGTGATGCAGAACGCCAACGCCGACAACGGTGGCCCTTTCGCATTCCTGGCGCGCTTCGCCGGCCCCATCGCTTGGCTAATCGCGGGCCTGCTGCTGCTGTTCGGGGGCACGGGCGCCGGCGGACCCGCGGGGCCCATGGGCCAGAACCCGTTCCAGCTGGGCAAGTCGCCCGCCAAGATCATCAAGGACGGAGACACCAAGGTGAAGTTCCTGGACGTGGCCGGCTGCGACCAGGCCAAGGAGGAGCTCGTGGAGGTGGTGGACTTCCTGAAGAACACGTCGCGCTACGCGGAGCTGGGCGCCAAGATCCCCAAAGCTGGGGAGCGCGAACTGGCCACCCCGCCGGTCCCAGCCAGGCCCACCCGTGGTCTTCAGGATCGGTGTGTAGGCTCTCCTGGCCGCGCCAGGGGAGGGGCATGTGCACCGGTCCGAGGCCCAGGATCGTCCTGGCCAGGATGGGTGAAGTGGTCAGCTGGCGTGCCCCGACAAGGGCGCGCTGCTGGTCGGCCCGCCGGGCACCGGAAAGACGCTGCTGGCGAAGGCGGTCGCGGGTGAGGCCGGCGTGCCCTTCTTCAGTGTGTCGGCCGCGGAATTCGTCGAGGTCTTCGCGGGCATCGGCGCCTCTCGCGTCCGTGACCTCTTCGCGGACGCGAAGAAGAGCGCGCCATGCATCATATTCATCGACGAGATTGATGCCGTGGGGCGCCAGCGCAGCGCCGGCTTCGGGCAAGGCAACGACGAGCGCGAGCAGACGGTGAACCAGCTGCTCACTGAGATGGACGGCTTCGAGGCCAACAACGGCGTGGTCGTCCTGGCGGCGACCAACCGCGCCGACGTGCTGGACAACGCCCTGACGCGCCCCGGCCGTTTCGACCGCAAGATCCAGGTGGACCCGCCGGACGTTGAGGGCCGCGCCGCCATCCTGAAGGTGCACGCCAAGGACAAATCGCTCGCGCCCTCCGTCGACCTGGGCATGGTGGCGCGCCAGACGCCTGGCATGGCGGGCGCCGACCTGGCAAACCTGCTGAACGAGGGGGCCATCCTGGCGGCGAGGCGGAACGCCAGCGAGATCGAGCAGGACGACATCGCAAGCGCGCTGGAGCGCATCCAGATCGGCCTCGAGAAGAAGGACGGCGCCATGTCGGAGAAGAAGAGGCGCTTGGTCGCGTACCACGAGGCTGGCCACGCCATCCTGGGCGCGCTGATGAACGACTTCGACGTGGTGGCGAAGATCAGCATCGTGCCGCGAGGGCCAGCCGGCGGGGTCACCATCTTCATGCCTACGGAAGACCGGTTAAATTCGGGCCTCTATTCCAAGGAGTTCCTGGAGAACCGCATGTGCGTCGCGCTCGGTGGCCGCATCGCGGAAGAGATCATCAACGGCAAGGACAATGTGACCACGGGCGCCTCCAACGACTTCCAGCAGTGCACCCAGGTAGGGCGTTCCAGTTCCAGAAAAAACCTCGCCCTCGAGTGATCGAGAAGTTGGCACGCCTTCCTCGGCGGAAGGCTGGCGGAAGCTGGCGGAAGCAAAACCAGCGCCCCCACAAGAGATATCAAGAAATGCCAACATGTTTGGGCTTCACGGCTTCCTGAAGCGGCCAGGTGGCCAACGCCATGGTGGCCCAGCTGGGCATGTCGGAGGTGGTCGGCCAGCGAGTGGTGGGCGGCGGTGACCAGGGCAACCCGTTCATGGGCCGCGACATGATGGGCGGCGGCGCCCCGCCGGTCTCTCAGGCCCTGCGTGAGAAGGTGGACGCTGAGGTGAAGAAGATCGTGGACGAGCAGTACGAGCGCGGCATTCGGGAAAGAACAAATGCATACGTATATCTCCCTTGAGATTCTGGCGCCGATTTTTGTTTTACACCCGGCGGTTTCGCCCTATGTCGGGCCTTGGGACCTTCGCGGATCGATACAGCTAAAAAAATACAGAAAGTGCGGGTCTGCGGCTGTGGTCGTGATTTCTCAGATGTTGTGTGTTTCTCAGGACGTCGGATCTCAGTGAGAGGTCCGCGCGGATTTCTTGGATCTGGGCTTGACCCCTTAGCGGCGCCTCCGGCGCCGCCCCTGGCGCGCTCCGCGCGTCAGGGAGGGTGGTCCAGTCAGTGCAGATCCAAGAAATCCGCGCGGACCCTCTGCAGTGATGGTTATACAGTTTCTTCTGCCAGGCATGTACCTCCTTAGGTCGAACATGCCCCTCCTGGATGCGCTGGCGGACGACCTGCTCGAGAAGGAGAAGGTAGGCGGCGAAGAGCTCGTGAAGCTTGTCAACAGGATGGCGGCCGAGGGCAAGCTGGTGATGGGCGTCCCGAAGATGGCCGCGGCTGCGTCTGCGGGTGAGACGGCCGCCAAACCCTGAGGAGTTCATATCCAGTCCAGAATTTGCTGTGGTCAGTTCCGCGTGCCACCAGCGTCGGGGTCCAGAGCGCTGCCCGCTGTCAGTCCACAGCCAGTAGCAGGAAGCTTGCTCTTGGGCCAAGGTTTCAACTTTGCTGGCCAGGTTCCGTGTTGGACCCAGCTTGTGCCAGGCGCTAGCCTTGCACTGCGCACGTGAGCGCAGGCGTCGCTCTTCAAGGGCCTCGCGCGTGAGGTGCTGCAGGAAACCTGCGGGCCCGAGCATTTTTCGCGGGCTGCACGCCACGCAATGGCTCTTGCCGAGCTGGCAGCTGGTCGCCCGCCAACTCCCTCCGTCTCGTCGCATGTCTCCCCCTCCCAACTCTGTTGTCTTCACCTTGCGCGCTCTCTAGCCGCAGGTCCAAGCACGCCAGCGCTGGGGACAGGATCAAGAAACGCGTCAGTACAGGCACGCACTTGTCTTTTCAATAACCATGAATCATGTCTTCCACTGCTTGGCGTTTGTTGCTCGTAGCTCCGTAAACGCTACAGCACGTGCCAGAAAAATGCGAGAGTCTAATCTGATGGTGTGCAGCACAATACCAAGATTCTGGCCTGGGTCAGGTTCAACATTGCGATGATATTCACGACGTCCTGGCATGAGATAGCGGTCAGGCTCCACCACATTCAATCACCCTGCAAGTTGCACAAAGGGTGTTTGTAGCACCTGTAGAATAAGTATGGTTGTATTGCTTGGTGCTCCCCGCGGGGGTCTGCTCTGGCACACGGCCCCCGCCCCACAGCCCCCCCGCTGGTCTGTCCATATATACATATATATATATATATACACACGTCTGACGGTCAGTATTTTTCGTTGCCGACTCAAAATTCCTGAGCCAGTTTCATTCCCGTTTGCTCTATCGAAGAAGCCTACGGCGAGTCCCGCCCCCCCCGCCAGCGTGCCCTTATGGACACGCACGGCATCTGTCGGCAATCGATGCTAGGTTCTTTCAATTGTGCTTGCCCTTGAAGTGTTGTCGGGACGACTGTGGGAGCACATGTGGTCTATCCAGCGGCGTTCGGCCCATCCTACCGATGTGCTCTGGCCCCAGGTCAAGGAAGCAAAGCATGCCGGCCAGAATGCCACATGATATTCCCAGCAGAGTTCCAGGGGCCCTCCAGGAACATGTTGGGAACTTCGCGCCGCGCTTGGGGAAGCAGCGCCACGGTGCCGTAGCGTGGCGTGGCCACAGAGGTGAACGATTATTGTGTTGCCTCTGAGCGGATTTGGGGATGCCGTTTGGAGTCTTCTTGGGAGCTTCTCGGGAGGGAAGACGAGTATCAATGGCACGTCGCCGATGGGAGCCCTTTGGCGTGTTGCTTTTCAGCGTTTGTCAGAACACCTTGTGTTTCTTCAGCAGTGTCTCGCTCATGGGTTTCCCACAGCGGCGTGTCACCGACACCGTTTTAGCTCCCCGAGGGGGAGGGGCTCGTGAGAGCGTTTGGGAAGCCCATCGAGGGCCGCTTGGTGGCGGCTGGGGGTCTGGGGGGGGGGGGGCAGTCTGGGGATGAGGACGTGGTGGACTCCCAAATTCTGCTCCTGGGATCCGTTCGCGGTCTCCCTCTTGGAGCCGTCTTGGGGTTGGCTTGGGCCCTTCGTTGAGGCCTCTTGGACCTGCTTGGGGTCGCCAGGACGTTCTAATCACCAGTTTGAAGTTGAAAGGGCTTCAACTCTGCCCCAAGAGGCGCCAATATGACTCCAAGATGCGCCAAGGCGGCCCAAGACATCTCCACTGGGAGTCGTCAAGATGCCAAAGTATGTCAGAAACGTTGTTCCTCACACAGTGCTTGCACCAAGGGGCCCTTCTGTGTTCTGCGAGGAACTGGTCCCGAGTTCTGGGTCTTCGGCTCGTCACCGTTCTGATGCTGTCCGTTGCCCACCCGTTGCCGCTCCGTTCCCTCCGCGTCGCAGTCAAGGTGCCGTCCCATTGTCGCCTTGTTGTTTGTGGTACCCTGCTCTGCATCACTTTCTTTGCTGGTTTGCGCTGCTTGCGCTGCGTTGAACTGCTCTGCACTGTTCTGCATTGGCTTGCATTGCTTGCGCTGCTTTGCGTTGCTTTGGGCTGCTCTTGATTGCGTCGCATTGCCCTGCTGTCTTGCCTTGTGTTGAACAGCGTTGCACGGTCATTCACCGCTTGCGTTGCTTTGCGTTCCTTTGCATCATTGTGCTTGACAATTCGTATGGCGTTACATCGCCTTGCGCTGCTGCCCTTGCTTACATTGCTTTGGTTTGCTTTGCGTTGCTTGCGTTGGTTTACATTTCTTTAGAGTGCTTTGCATGACCCTGCACTGGTCTGTATTGCTGTCAACTGCGTGCGCTGCTAAGCATTGCCCTGTGCTGCTTTATAGTTTTGCGTTGCAGTGCCCTGCGCTGGTTTGCATTTCATTACCTTGCATTGATTTGCACTGATTTGCACTATAGTTCAACGTTTGCGGTGCTTCGCATTGCTTTGCATCGCTGTTGTTTGCATTGTTGCGTGATACGTTGCGCAGTTTCGCACTGCTTCACGCTGCTTGGTACTGCTTGCATTGCTGTGCATTGCTTGCGCTGTGTTGCATGGCTGTGCATTGTTGTGTCCTGCTTCGCATTGATTTGCATTGCACTGATGTGCAGTGCGTTGCATTGATTTCCACTGCCCGGCGCCGATTTGCACTCCTCGTATTGCTTCAGGTTGCGTTAATGTGCATTGCCTTGCCATGTGTTGCATTGATGTGTGCTGCTCTGCATTGCCTTACCTTGCGTTGCATGTCGTGGATTGTTTCGCATTGTTCGAACTTGCGTTGCGCCGATTCGCATGGCTTTGCTTCTTGTTGCGATGCACTGCTTTGCACTGGTTTGCCCAGCTTTCCACTGCTTTCCACTTGTATTCCTTGTGTTGCCTGGCCTTCGTTCGCAGTGCCTTGCCATTGTTTGCATTGGATTGCGCCGCATTGCTTTGCGTTGCATTGTCTTGTGCTGCTTTGCATTGCTTCGCGTTTCCTTGTGTTGTGTTGCATTGCGTTGCATGTGTATGCTTTGCTTGCGCTGCTTTGCCTTGCATTGCCTTGCGTTGCTTTGCACTGGTTCGCATGGCCTTGCATTGTCTTGAGTTGCGCTGCACTGCACCGATTTGCACATCGCCTGACACTGGCTGGCACTGCGTTGCGTAGTTTCGCACTGCTTTGCATTGCTGTGCCTAGCTTTCACAAATTGGGTGGTTTGGGGTCCACTCTGGGGTCACGGTTTGTTTGTCATGTCATATGTTTTATGGCTTCAAGAACGTCAAAGACAGTCCAAGAGGCATCCATTACTGTTCCACTAGGGTTAAGACACAGTTGTGGAAGCGAGGCGAGTTAGCATCCCGAGTGATTGCCATAAAAAACAGGTGACGATCTTCAAAAGTCTTAGGAAGACAGCGGAAACGTTCTCCGGGGCATTTTCAGAGCCCTCCAAACCCAGAGTATCTGAATCCTAAGGGCCATCGAGGACACGAGGACACTCCATTGCGTGTCGGAGACACGGTGTCAGATGCGCTGGGTGACCAACCGACATGATGATCGGAGAATGGGTGAGATCCATCCGTAGCATTAGTTTCGTTTTGTTTCGGTGAAGGCGACGATCTGTCGATCGAGGCCAATGCGGCCGAGTCGGGCGACATGATTCTCCTCCCGTCTCGCGGTGGGACGCGGGCCGTGGTTGTCCCGTGGACCCGTAGGTTGTCCCGTGGGTTCTCCTGTGGGTTGTCCTGTGGTTCGTCCCGCGGATGTCCCGTGGGATGCCCCGTGGTTGTCCCGTGGGTTGTCCTGTGGGTTGTCTTGTGGTTCGTTCTGCGGATTTCCCGTGGGATGCCCCGTGGTTGTCCCGCGGGTCATGCACATCTTGTTTCCAAATCGATATGCAGGATAGTTGAATGTTTCATAGAAATCGAAAAGATACCGAGAGGACCACCCTACGGGTGATAAGGAGGTTTGGGGGGGGAAGGGGGAGGCGGTCGATGTACGATGACTCCCACCTGCCGCCACCAAAGAGTGCGCGGGGAAATGAATACCACCTACTTCCGCATGCTTCTAATTAACTGATCTATATATATATATATCTTTCCAAGGCTCTCGATCCATCAATCAAGATATCTATCTGTCTATCGAGTCGACACATCAATCAGTCGACCTATCTATCTGACAACCAATCAATGTATCTATCTATCGAGTCGATCCGTCAACCAGTCTATCTATTCACCTACCTATCGGGACAACCATCGGGGCAACCTTCCGTTCATATCTCATATCCCCCAAACTCCGATCTGTATCTATCTATTTGATTACCTTTGTGTCCACCGATGTACCTATCCACTTATATGTGTATATATATATGTATGCTCTATCTATATATATCCATCGACCTCTCTATCGAGTCAACCGGGAGGGCAACCATCGGGCCAACCGTCGGGACAATCGTCGGGACAACCATCGGGACAGCAATCGGGGCAACCATCGGGACAACCATCGGGACAACCATCGGGACAACCATCGGGACAACCATCGGGAAAACCATCGGGACAACCATGGGGACAACCATCGAGATAACCATCGGGACAACCACCGGGACAACCGTCGGGACAACCATGGGAACAACGATCGGGACAACCATCGGGACATCGGGACAACCATCGGGACAACCACTATCCATCGGGACAACTATCGGGACAACCATCGGGACAACCATCGGGACAACCATCGGGACAGCCATCGGGACAACCACTATCCATCCGGACAACCACCGGGACAACCATCGGGACAACCACTACCCGTCGGGACAACCATCGGGACAACCATGGGGACAACCATCGGGATAACCATCGGGACAATCATCGGGACAACGAGGGAGACAACCATGGGGACAACCATGGGGACAACCATCGGGACAATCATCGGGACAACCATCGGGACAACCGCGTGACAACCACGGGACAACCACGGGACAACCACGGGACAACCACGGGACAACCACGGGACAACCACGGGACAACCGCGGGACAACCACGGGACACGCGCTCGGGGGGGGGGGGGCCTTTTGGGCTCCATGTGGTTTCTACCAGTGCAGGAACTCGCGCAGCTTCGCCTCGCCCTCACGCACGACACGAACCGAAACCGAAACCGATTTCCCTCTTGGGTTCACTTCCGTTCACACCCCCAACCTCCCAATCGAATCACACATCGACATGTAAATCCAAGTCCGAGTACAATCGAAATTCAAAACGACATTCAATCGAAGTACACTGTAAATGCACATCCAAATGCAAGTTCCTCAAACCCCTTAAACCTTATCACCGGAAGGGTGGTCAACTCTAAAGGGAGCTGGGGCAGAGGCGAGAGATAGTGAGCGTTTGTCCGCGGCCGTTTGTGTTCAAGCGGCCGGCCGCCAAGATATGACTGTGCCTCATCGCGAGGCACACTACTTGCTATCGAGACCAAAAACAGTTTCGCTTGAGATGGCTCGTCGCTCCCGCGACGATCTCCTACTTTGGGAGTTTCGTTACTACGGTACAATAGAGTTGGATATGGGTTTCGCCTTAGGCAAAGCTGCTGGTTGGGCCTCCCACCCCCCCTCAAACTTGGTAGCGGAGCTGGCCTATGGTGGTCAGCTCTTGTTCTACTCCTCACCATCCACGGCACTATCAGGTGGACTATTGACATGGTGGAACGTCAGGGTGCAGCGGGTCTGCGCGGAGGAATGTACATAACTACGCACAACCGCAAGGACACTTGCAGTGCTACCTCCGCTCTCGCGGAGGCCTCTTACACGAGTCCCACTTCCCTGCTACACTCCTGAAGCCCACCCACCTGCTCCACTTGGAAACTCTTTTGAAGACGCCATGCATGGCAACGCGCGATATGACATTGCGCCGCCTCCCCCCCCACGCAGGCTTACGACACAACGCCGAACCCCCCAGCCCCGAATGTCCGA